CGCTTGGCGACTGCATTTCTGGGTGAGGAGCCCTTGGAATTTGATGCAAGTGGCAGCAGTGTCCTTTCCACTATTGCATGGCAACTCTCTAGAGCACCAGGAAACTGTTTAATTGGTTATCTTTTTGATAACATGGTGTATGTGCCTACCAGAGCAGCAGTAATATTTGGCAGTACTAGCAGAGCCTTTCTCTTACTTTGGGCCTGAGGAATACTTATGCTTTTTTAAATAAAAAATTTTTTTAAAAAGTATTTACTCCAAATTTGTGCTGCTTCACAGCTTTTCTGTGCTCTGACTGCAACAGCAGAAAGAGAACTAGCCACAGGTTTTAAGTGAAAGGCTTGCTTTTTCCAAAGGAAATCACTTCTCACTTCAATCTTACTCAAATTTTGGAAATGTTTTTCCTTATGATTTGTGATGAAACATCAACAAAAATCCTGTTTGGCCAGCTCCAATAGTAAGTGCAAAAATAGAGCTGTTAACATGATACATAGTAGCATTGATAGCAACAACCATTTCCTTTTTGTGTAATATTACAAGAAACCCAACACTGAAAATGTTTTGAATGAACTGACACTTTTTGCACTTCGTAACGCTTTTTACAGATGAGGTCATCCTACTTTTTTGCTTTAAGGCAGAAAAATATTATTTCCTGAGGTGACAATGAACATAATCAAGTTCTCTACAGTTTTGCCAGAGCTGGTAAGGAGCCCAGATCACTAATATCGTAAGTCTTGGCTTTTTAACCACTTACTGAATCAGAGCGCAAAACATGCTGATTGTGCTCTTTTAACCATTAGCAACATGTCCTTTCAGAGCTGGATAGAAAAAAAAAACAGGATCTTTCATGGGGAGGAGGACAGTTGGGGGTTGTCACTTAACTTCATCGCTGGTAGCAGTAATCTGTGTTTATTAGTTCAGAGTTTCTGGTTTCCAGAACTGCTGATGCGCAGTATATTGAGCCTGTGTAGGTTTGTGTGAGAGAAGCTGCATGCAGCTGGGCTGGAACAGGCCTTGGAGAAGGTGGTGACTTGATATCACGCTGTGGAGGCTCAGCGGGCTTAAAGCTCCTGCATTTCATGTTTCTCTGTTGGATTTTGTGGAAGGAAGCTTAAGCGAAGATAATTACACTGTGTGATGGTTGAATCATCTTTGTTCTTCGCGGATCATACAATAAATAACTTGATTGTATTTTTGTACTCTTTGGTATCTCTGTTATCAGTTTCCATAAATTTTATGTTGAGTTATAGAGAGAAGCTAATTTTTTTTTTTGTCGTTGTTTTGCAAGAAGCCCTTCTTCTGTTCTTTAGACGCTTCTCGCCAAGGCATGATTATTTTCTTAAATTAGCAAGATGCAGTGCAATTAAAAATTACTTTGCGTGTGTGTGTGTGTTCAGGAAAATATTGGGGCTCTTGTACCATGTGCTTGAATGTAATATTTAAACCTGTCATAGCTAGTCCAGCTGTTCTCATAGAATGGTTCCTAAACCCTGTCATTCAAAAAAAAAAAAAAAAAAGAAATAAATGAATAGTAAACTAATGGTTATAGTATTTGCATATTTCAGTTTTACACAGTGGAAGAAAAGCAGTTTAAAACTTTGGGGTCATTTTGCAGTATCAAGATGACCACAGCGCCTCGAACGCTTGTATAGTAACTTTGGATGTCACACAACTATATTGTTGTGTTTGCTTGATTATTTTAAAAAAAGATTTCATATCTGCCTTTTTTCCGTATAAATACTTTGCCTTATTTTCTGACAAGAATCAGTACTTTGCTCTTATCAGTTAGTTAATCCAGTCTAATATCAAAGCTGCACAACCTCAGTTACTGAAGGCACAATACAGTGCGCTGGCAAACATGTTGGAACAATTTCCAGTAATTTTGGCTAAGTCTTAGAGGAAGTGGAAAGTAATACAGATTAACTCAAAAGGCTACACATTCCCTTAGATGATCTGGAAAATAAGACTTAACACCAGAAGGTAATTGCAGTGAGTGTCCAGTAGCAAAACTTGAAATTAAATTTTCTTACTATGAAGGGGAACATTAATGTTCTATATTTATTAGCCTCAACTGCAAAAACTCTGGTTTTATTCTAAATAACTTGTGTATCTCAGCAGAGAAATAAAACTCTCTTCATGTTGCAAAATATTATTTAGTCTCACTGATTGGTATTTTTTTTTCTCCCCCCTACCCCTGTTATCTTCAGAGTTGTTAATATTTCGGTCTCCACGATAATATCTTGGAAATAGCTCAGGGAGGGCGAGTTATTTACATTAATCTGAGAAATAACAAATTTTAGCTCTAGAGAATCCCAAGGGTGGAGCCAGTACTTGTTTATGGAGTTTGGCTTTCCTGCGTCCCCACAGAGTGATTCCCAGTAGTCACAGCCTTCCTTGTTTTCCCTTGAGCGAGGGCCTGTTATCGTGCCTTGCTCTGTAGCCTGTGAGAAAGCTGAGGCCGGGCTGTCTTGCGTAGGCTTCGCCTGGCCGTGTGAACAGATTACAGCATTCCACTTGTTAGCATGAGCCACGGAGCAGAAATGTTTTACTATTATGTTACTGGGCAATGATAAAGTTGGCAGTCTTTTTATGGTTAGGTCCTCAAAGTGGCAGTTCGTGTTTTAGCGATAAGGAGACAGAGCTTTGGATATTGGACCCAGACTTATTATCTGTAGCAGTGAACTGTGGCTTAAATCCTTCCACAATGACAGGAACCCCATCTGGAGTGAAGGTTTCCAGAATCTTAAACAGGAGATACTGAGGCATTTTCCTTCCTCATGAGTCAAAGCAGAGTTAACCCCATTGTTATCAAAAGTAAAAATAACCGGTTGCCAAGAGGAAGGATGCATTTTTATATGTAACTAAATCTCTTCCTTTATATTAGAACTTTGAGTATAATTTTCAGACAGATCCGGGAGGATGAATTGGCAGCGTTATGCTTAAAAGCTTTTACTTGATTGTTTTAGAATATTGAAAGGAGCACGAATGAAACTCCTGTGTTGCAATACTTAAAATTGCTCTAATATTTTTCTCAAAGGACGTGAACTAGATGGTATGTGTGTTTCTTGCTTTATAGTATCTAAATACAGCTTCTGGTAGTTTCTTGGGCACCGCGTAAGCATGTTGACGCTGAGCACCATGTAAAGACACATTTGGCTTCTATTTACAGAATTCTGTGGGTTGCAGGGGTTAAGTGTAATCCAGATTATACAGTGTTAACATTTTCCCTACTGATATCGAAGTGTAGAAGACTGGCAGGCTGACTTGTTAGGAAGGGCTGGGAGAGGGATAACAGGCTCCGACCTTGAGAGGCCGAACAGCCGGCCCTTGTATGGCCAAGTCCCTATACGTGTCCAGCTGATTGGTTAGGGGAGCAGGATCAGTGCCGTGACAGGTGTTGGAGGAAGCTACACCTGTTTTCCCCATATGCTGATTTAGTGATTACATTTTTGTGGGAGTTCCAGATACTGTGTGGGATACGCGGAGCAAGCCAAGAAACTTGAGAAGGAATTATAGCTTATGGTGACCTGTGATATTAAAGAATTTCAGACGGCGTAATTGAATTTTCAAGTACTGATTTAAAACTGAAGTAGAAACAGTCAATATTTTGCACGTATATGAATAGTGAGGAAGTCTTGTGTACTTTTTATTGTACTAAAAATTAGTAGATAGCACTTTAAGAAGAAATGCTGATGAATACTATAGTCTAAAACACAGTTTGTTTTTTTTAATCAGAAATTCAGTGTGTTATGGAAACATACAGCTTCTATAGGAAAGCAAATGCAACTTCTTTACCATGCTGAGAATGTCAGCGTGCAGATTTCAATCTTTAGGGGTTTTAGTGTAAAATTCAAAGAACATAAATAACTTGTTACAGAAAGAAGACAACTCCCCTCATGCCTGTACAATCCTACTGCTGTCTTACGTACTGCTAATGTGTACCTGTTTAAAAATTTATATTGCTTTCCTTTTGAAACTTTTTAAAAACATTAAAGATTTTTTCCATAGGTAGCATTTTAAATCTTGGTTTGTTATAAATGAGAACTTGCAAAGAAGATTTCTGATTGTGTAATAGGGTGAAAAAGAAAAACAAGAAGGAATACAGTATCTTTTAAAATATGGTCACGAGGCTTGTAGTTTCACATCCTTCCTTCCAGTGGCTGATTTGTAATGCCTAGATTGTAGACAAATTGGGTTGTTGGGTTTTTTGGTTTTGTTTGGTTTTTTTTTTTTTTTTTTTTTTTTTTTTTTTTTTTTTTTTTTTTTTTTTTTTTTTTTTCCGGGGGATGTTGATGTGAGTTCTCCATTAGAAAATAGGAAGTAGCCCAATAAAGCCGTTGCATCAAGTTAGTCTAAAGGAGTCTGAAAAAACCCTTACATTTAGCAAACTGTGTCATTTTAGAGAGGGATTATGTAATTTCTTTCAGTTTTTTGCAGTTCTTGTTCTCATGCAGGATGACGGAAGTGCAGGAAAATCCTGCCTTTATAAACTACTGAGACCAATTGTTACATATATTAATGTACTGCAGTTGTTGAATTTGATCGAAAATTTTAGCCACTGTGTTTCTCAGAGTTTAAAATGTGAATATTAAAATTGGGATGCTAAAACCAATTTATTAAAGATGCAGTAAACTGGCTTTTAATTACCAGTGATGACACTTAACTCCTTTGCTGTAGGTTTGAATGTTCCGCGTATGCCAGGCAACTTTACTCCATCAGCCAGTGTCTAAAAACAGGTTCGCGTGGAACGCTGGAGAGATGAAGTGGGTGTAGGTTGAAGTTACCCACGAGATGGCACCTGGGAGAGTCTGTGCCTCTGAATGAACCTTTTCTGTTTGTGTACTATGCCACTATTTTGAAAGACTAAGCTTGTCTGTTGAACAGTGAGTTTTGTCTGTGAAAGTTTCATGTAGTTTCAGTGGCTCTAATGATTCAGTAGTATACAAAACTTCTTGGCAAGTTAGTATGATTTGTATGTGAATTTTCCAATTGTATTTCAGACCTTAAGAAAGAAAGGCCTTAATGGTTGTGAGAGCCCTGATGCTGACGATTACTTTGAGCACAGTCCACTATCGGAGGACAGATTCAGCAAACTAAATGAAGATAGTGATTTTATTTTCAAGCGAGGCCCTGTAAGTACTTTTATTTTATCTCTACTTTTTATTTGTTGATCCTTTTTATTAACTTCATTATTTAGGCTCTGAACAAGAAGGAACACAGAGGGTGCGACAGCCCGGACCCTGACACTTCATATGTGCTCACGCCACATACAGAAGAAAAATATAAAAAAATTAATGAAGAGTTTGATAATATGATGCGGAATCATAAAATCGCAGTGAGTACTAAAGTATGGTTTGTGCTTCTATTACGTGCATGAGAATTTTCAGTGTTTGCTTACCACTGCAAAGACAAGAGGATGTAACAGTTTCGGAATGGAATATATGTTTTTGAGGAAAAATGAGATGCTGATACTTGAACTTGTTAAAATAAATTTTACTTGAAAGAATAAGAAAATTTATCTATATCTTCTCTTTTGCACTCACAGTTATTTCATACCTTGTGAACATGAAGTAGCATTTTTACGATTCACAAGCCTAGCTGTATTGCTTAATCCTAGCTAAAATATTTTTGGAAAGATTTTTGTCATGGGATGTAGGATAGCTTATTTACATCTTGTAGCTCTTTATATATCTGTTGATCAAGATTTTACAATATATTACCAGCAGGCAAATAGAATTGGATTAATTTTGTCATCAAATCAGTGGAATTTATTTTGCTGAAGACTGGATGTAGAAAGGTATTTAGATGTTTAAAGATAAAGACTGGTGCACAATGGGACCCTCAAAAGATTGGTGTCTTACTCCTCCTGAAATTCTAACAGATACTTCCTTGGACACTGGAAGATCTCTGAAAATTTTGTCGCAAGTGCCTAACCTGTTCGCAGCCATAAGTCACTTAATTGCTTTAGAACGATATGATCTATCCCATAGTGTGATCAAGGATCACTTTTCATTTTAGTGTTACATCATTCAAAAATGAAATTGTCATTGCCTGAACCCCGTGTATTTACTGTGCAAATTATTCATGTTGTTCTCAGTTTCATATATCCACTTGAATTTTTGGGCTCTAAGGCAAAAAGATGATTTAGCGGAGAAAGGATTTTTGGCAGAGAATTACTGGACTCCAGAAGTCAGGAAGTTTGGGGATAACAGTAGTGTAAATTTCACATGTTTTTCATGGAGGTGTACGCAATGACATTTAATTTTCATCTACAAAAACCAATTAGTGCTGAGTATTACAGGGGAAGTATTTTCTAAGAAAACGAATACAAGGCTCTGCCACAGCCTTTGAATTTTTTAACATTGCAAATCTTGTCGCAATTAAAGTAAATGGACTGGCTAGGTTAATCGGCACAGGCCCTGGGGTAATTGAGTAGTGTGTCCCCAAATGACTTGCTGATACTAGAAATTATTTCATTGTTCAGAGCAATGAGGCCATCTCTGAGGACTTAACAGCAAGCTGACTGTCATGACACCCAGCATCACTTCTTTCAGCAAGTTCTTTATACTTGAATGAAGCCGATATCTTTTGTTCCTGCTTTGTTTTGAAGCTTTTGATATCCAACATTTCTGTATTGAGGCATCTTCTTCAGACCTCATCTCTCAGTATAATACAGCTAAATTGCTCTCCCTTAATTTTCTGTGGTCTTCATGAACAGCCTAAATGGGCTGTGTGGACATCAGTGTAAATAAAAAAGGCAACTTTACTTCTTAGCTTTATAGTTCTGTATTTATAGCTTAGATTGGACCTGTTCTGGTTCTATTTCCAGTGCTTATGGGTCTGTATAAGAACGTAGTTTCTTCTGTTCTATTGCACTCATTACTGTCAGAGGATAGGAATGAGGCAAAGCGTGAAGAATTCGGTCATAACCAAGATGGGCAGAGACAGCCTTTATTGTAAGGTGTGGGGGGAAGCTGTCATTTATTAATCCTCTATTGAGAAACCTACAGAAAATATATGTTCCAACTGCTTCTAGCATGGTTTTAAGCATATTTCAGGTATTTCAAGTTTAGTTTGAGTTACTTGACAGCACGCTGTTTAAAAACAACCTTTTTTTGGTAGATATTAAATAGTTTCTTGAAGTAGTTTCTAGTTTCCTGTGAAAACAAATACCGGTACAGCTTGTCATTAGTTAGATACTGTAAATGATTTGCTAGCGTTACGTCGCTATGCTTCATTACTTTTTTTCTTCTGTCTCTGCCAAAAATTGGTAATTATTCTTAGGAATGCTTCAGTAGGGACACCGTCACTGGCTTTCACTAGTAAGAGATTCTGTTTCTTGTAGAGAATGTATTATGCTTTTTTAATTAGTATAGTTATTGTTGTATTTCTAATGCTTTCAAAATTGTCATACAGAAGTATCATTCTAAGTAAATTTTAAGCTGCACATGACAAAAGTGCATCTTTTAAAGTATACTTGCTAGGTCATGAATGTTTGTCACCTGCATTTGACCTCTAAATCAAAACTATTATTTCTCTATTCTGTCAATAAATATTATCGAATTTTTACCCTTGAATTGTACCTGTCATGGTTTTGTTTCCAGTAATTATGGGAGTTGTGGAAGAAAATGCTCCCTTTTGTTTCAGAAACTCATCACTGTCAAAGGATAGGAATGAGACAAAGGCCGAAGTAGTTAGTCATAACTAAATGAGTACCATAGATGGGCAGGCATCTAAGCTTTTCATTCAAATAGTTGTTGAATAACAAACATATATACTTCAGAAAAATAGTTGCCTTTTAAATAATGCTGTAAAAATGAGAATTTAAAAAAGAGATTTGCAAAAAAGCAAGATGGGGTGGTTATTCAAGCGGAGTTTTGTGGAACACAGCTAAAAATAATGACAATGGAAATGTTTAAATTCAAATTACTGAACTTGGTGAATTTCTAATGATCTGTTTACTTTTTTCTTTTTAGCAGACTAAAAAGTTTTAGAGATCAGTAGCAATATTTTGGCAAGGTTATTGATAGAAGATGTTATTACTAACTTTTTCTTTTTTGTGTAACAACTGACATTATTTTATAATGTGCATGTTTATGCTTACATTTTGAAGGTGCTATAGTTCATTGGTTTGTAGACATGTTTAGCTTGTCATTGCTTTGTAATAATCCGAGTTAACTGATAAATTTGTTGTATTTCTGAGCTTGCGAATTCGTACGAATATCTTCATTTTTTTTGTATTTGAACTTTCAATATTTTAGCAGTTTATGAGTAATTCTTTTGGAACTGTATTTATGTGATGTATAAGAGTTTAATGCCATACGCTACAATAAATGGATGTTTTAAAACTGTATGCTTAATAAGAGTTTCAAAACTAACATAATTAACTTTTTTAAAACCTGAGTAATTCTTGGCAAACTTTACTGTGTATTTTTATAATGTGCTATTTCTGCAAACATAGTTAATGCTAATGTTGTTGTCTTCTGTGTATTCCTTGTCATTTTTCCTCCAGCCTGGCTTGCCTGCTCAGAACTTCTCGATGTCGGTTACAGTTCCAGTGTCCAATCCCAACACTTTAACCTACAGTAACCCAGGGAGTTCCCTTGTATCCCCATCACTGGCAGCCAGTTCATCATTAACGGACACGACCATGCTCTCCCCACCGCAGACCACCCTGCATCGGAACGTATCACCTGGGGCCCCTCAGAGACCACCGAGTACTGGCAACGCAGGTAAGGTTTCAGTGCTGTTGTGCTTTCCTTTTATACCCTCTTTTTATTTTTTTTTTTATTTAAAAAGAAAAGACCCACAAACAAAAAAAGTAACAAGTTCTTAATGGTGTTGGTGCATTTTGGTTTTTTTAACAGCTTAAGTTTTGAAGTACAAAATGTATATACTGTAATGAGAGTAAGTTAGTTTAATGCTCTGGCTTATTTTTATTAGGTGGAATGCTGGGGACAACTGACCTCACAGTGCCAAATGGAGCTGGTACCAGTCCAGTTGGTAAGTGTGGGATCAGGTCTTTATTGAAAAATAGTACTGTAGCTTTAGTTCTACAGTTACGCAAAAGCATTTTTTTATTTTGACACCTTGGAAAAAGTGGTGTGGAAGAACAAAGGGCGTAATTTTCTTAGTTGCCTTCTGATTGTCAAGTCTTAAAATTCTTACCAGACGTTTAACTTTACTGCCATGCCCTTTCCACTTTAGTAATATTTGGATTTTTTATTTTCATGATTTTCAGTAGTAGCATGCTGCTTTTGCTGTTGTGTTTCTCTACAGGTGTAATTACAGCACTCTAAAAAGCGCGTACTGAACTATTACACTAAAGACAACTCAGCTGTATTCTCAACTTTGGTATTCACGAGACCTGGATGTTTGATACTGGTTGAGTGCCAATCAAAATGAAGAAAATACAGACTGTATTGTTTGTATTGCCATATGTATCTTGCTAATTATTTTCTAGCAGTTATACAAAGAAGGCAATAAATCTTGGAAGCTGATAGCTCAGTTCTATTCTTAATTTTGGAAGATGATCAGAATTTCTTTCAAAACCAAGTTAGAGATCTTGCCAAAAATCAAAGTCACGGTATTTTTTGGTCTTTGGTAAAAAGATATGATAGTACTTTTTCATTTAATAATATTTTGTCTCCCTTAAACTAAATTTAGTACTCTGGTAGAGGGCAGGCAGCCATTGAAATTTATCTCTCCACAGAAAGACAAAATAAATGACAGTTCACCCACTTCCTTCATGTTCCTTCCATTCTTTGGGATGTGGTGGTAACTGAAGGTCAATTTTGGAAATGCACATAACTCTCCTTGGTACGTGTTCATAGCAAGGAGTTAGAGAAGCAACTGTTGACCTTTTCAGTATTTGCCCACTGGCTACTTAGTGTGGCAACTGGGAAACAGTTCTTTGAAGATAAAGTCATGCAATTGAATTTATGAATAAGAAATGCTGCAACTACAAGGCTGAAAGCACAGGATTGAATTGCCACTCTTCATCCATTCTTTGGCTATGTGCAGGAGATATGAAATATTAAAGCGTAGTTTCCATCAGGTAAGCAAGATTTTAAACGGCGGAAACTTCCTCAGTTGAAAAAAGATTACTATTTTTAGAAACCGTAGAGGTCAAATGTTGATTTCCATAGTATTTCTCAAGTCAGACTAAATAAGTTTTATTATCAAGCTGTTTCAGGCCTCTCTTCCAAAATCAGGCTTTAGTAACAGCAGCCTCCAATTTCAGACTACTTCCTTCAATAAGCAAATAATACAGTTGTTTACAGCACTTTCTATAGAATATTAAACTGTAGAAATACCCAGTTACAGCAGCTTGGTGAACATACTTCAAGCAGTAAAATGTTTTCCTTCTTGTATTTATTAATAGTTTATGTGAAAAGTCAAAATGCATTGCTTATCTCTTACTTTCCAGAACATTGCACCCAAAATGTTATACCCACTCATTTCTAGAAAGATTTTTTTCATACAAGTAAGAGTTGTGGCTATACAAGAAGAGGGGGACATCTATAAGAAGGAAGCACCTCTTGTAAAATTCAGAATACCTAGCTAACACCAGAATCCTAAGCCATAGGGTACTCTAAGTTGTCAGAGCTCACCTTCTACTAGGATATGGCATGGCTTCTTTTAAATACTGTCAGGTGCACAGTAACCTTCTCAATAGCAACCAAAATCAAGAAACCATACATAACCAGATTGAGTAAATCTGCTAACTTTTCAGTTTGAGCTTGACAACTGCCATTGAAGTGTTCATAGCAGGTTAATTATGTCTGCAGAGAACAATGGGTAGTTTCTTGCTATGTTTATTGTAGAATTCACTTTAAAGAAATACATTCTCTTCTTCTAGCTTTCAGTTTTTTAAACTTCTCAGGAATGGAGAATTCTTCTATGGATATAGTTGTGAAAAGTCATGCGTCAAATTTGCAGCTCCCAATTCATAGGAGAGATGTCAAATATAAAGATGGAGTGCTGGCATACCCGTATTCCCAGATATTCTCTTATAGACAAAGGAAAAACCCACGTCTTCCTCGACATTATGAAGTTCCGAGTGTTTGAGATTTTGTTCTCATTTCATTGAAATAGACACCTTTATCTCTGAGTAAAAAGCAAGTAAAGGTTATCTTGCATAGTTGGGACCCATTTCAAACAAATATGTTGCATAAAATGGCTCATATTTAGTTCATGAGTCTTTCTCAAGTCCTGTGTAACTTGATTGGAATAGATATGATTAGCAGTCAATCTGCCAACTTAACGTTTTTTCTGTGGAAAATAACTTTGAGTAAAAATATCTGCATGTTGTAGCAAAGATTGGTAGGTGTTTTTTCTATGTCTAGAACAGAAAATTTTGTAATCATTTTATAATACTGAGAGCTTAATTCATATGCAGCTGTCATAACTCTGAAAAAGCATTTTTATTTTATAATATTTTTAAAACTTCACCCACCACATAAATAACATTTGCTGAAAATTTTTACTTGGCAAATGTATTGGTTTTGAGAGAGGAAAAAATGTCTGGCATTATAACAGTGTTTGCTTTTGAGCTAATTTGTTCTTTCTGTTAATTAGATCAAATACTTTGGAGCTAGAATTTTCATGGTCAATGTTAAACCCTGTTCAGTTTGTGATGGGCATCTAATAAGCTTCGAGAATCTCCTATCACCAGAATGCGTGCTACTTGTTGTCAACATCATTGTAACTTGAACTTGGTGGATGCATCACCTTCAAATTTGTCATGAGGTCTGCTTCACTATGTTCCACTAGATTTGGTTTTATACCTGGAGTCATCCAGAGGTTGCCAAAGAAGTGCACTTCCAGTGAAGTTGTCCCATCTTGAGGACTCCGAGAATCAGAAAGGCTCAAAAGAAGTACTGCTGTTACCTGGTCGCTACTTCTCCTTCCATACCTTTCACATACGGCATTGAGCTAGAACCATGCAAAGGACATGAGCTGGTTTTCATTGCCAAGGCTGCATGAAAACCATATACCCCAAGACCTTTGAACTAAGATGAGTTCCCTAAGTTCTTCCCAGTCCTAGGTGACTTTAAAGGACTTGTGGGAAGTGGAGGCTCTTTATGATCTCGCAAGGACACAATATTATCTATCTATAGTCAGTGAAGTAGCCCTTCTGGTCAGTAATGCAGATTATGGACCCAATTAATCTTTTGGGAAATTACCTTTCCTCTTACAATTTTTATCATCAGGAGAATGAATAAGAAAGATGTAGTCGTCTTGAGTACTGAATTTCTCCTCTTTGTTCCAGAAATGTATCTTCTCTAATCTCCTTACTAATATTCAGATTCTGAGAGTGTGTAGTAACTTTAGGAATATTGAATTTCTTTGGAATAGAGCTGAAGGATGTATCTGCTTGAAAAACTACGTCTTATGAGCTATTGGATCTCTTTTAAGAGCCAATCTAGATCACGTGTGATCTTTTCTCCTGGCCTCAGGAAGGAGTATGTAGAGGTGCAATTGACAGCTTGCACGCAGGCTTTTTGAAATGATGGTAGAATCAGCAGTGATTTCTGTGCAGAGCTGAAAATGGTATGAACAGCATAGACAGGTTTTCGTTTTAATTTTCACTTACAGCTGTCATACTAAAAAAAAAAAAATAAAATTGAGCAACTAATGCACATAGAAATGCTGTTGTATTTACTTGCAGTACTTCTTCCCCCCTCACCTCCCCAAGGTCCTACATGTGAATGTTTTTCTTCAGTTGGTTTTAGCTGGTCTTCTAGATGCATAGTGAATCGATGGCTTATTGCAAGCACGATTTTCAGTTTACTTCTAATTGTGTGACACTTGTTGGGTTGTATGATGTCATTTGAGGTATAAATACTTATTTACTGCTGTTCTTATTTTTGCTTAATCTTCTATCGCTTAGCTGCTTGCCCACATTTATTTTCCAAAACTGTGTATAACTGTTCAGTTTCTCCAAAGGTGAACCACAAAAAAAGATTAATGGCATCAATGACTATAATTTATTCCTTGAGTAGTAATAAGTACATGGAGTACTTTCCAGCCACGTGTGTTCATTGTTTCAGCTGATGTGATTTATATAGTGAAATATGACTCTGGCTCATGTAATTGAATGCTACATCTTGGGCTGCAGGACAATAAATGAGATTAAGCTGTATTACGTTTCTGAAGGCAGAATATACAGTTGTTAAAATGTGTGGATTTTAACATTTAGCTTCAGAAAAGACGTTACTTCAAAAGTAAATGTTTTCTGATTAAACAGAAGTAGGCTAATGTGCATTGGCAATGTTTGTTATCATAAAAATCTAATTAAGTTATGATTCATATAATTGAGAGTTTATAATATTTGCATTGGTGTCTGTTTTCCAAAGCAGTGTTTCAAACATGCTTTCATAGTCTGTTTTAAAGAATTAGAATTAAACAAAACTATTCCGATGGAAGTAAAACCAGTAGTCTTACTTTACACTTACGTGAGATTTTATATTCTGTTCCCATTTTTCAATTTGGTAGTGTTTTTAAACATAATCTTTGGGGAAGATCTATAGTGGGTGGGGTAGATACAATTTCTGTATTATACAAAATAGTAAGTAGAATTTATGGGGTTATTAAAGCCTCAGTTTGGCAAACTGCCGTACAGTTGCATCATCCTGTAATCATTATCTTTTTCTGGCTCCTGACCTTACCCCTAAGAAATACCATGCTTTTAGTTATCCTTTCACTCTTAACTTGTAATTTGATTTTCTTATTAGATTATTAACAGGAAAAAAGGCTTTAAGTTTCATATTAAAAATGAATATTCTACAGTCTTGCTGCAGCCCCCAGCATATGATTCTTCAAATAATCAATATAGATACTCTAGTGCTTGCTAAATGTTCAGTGTTTGTTATTTGTAACAAAGGACTGCAACTGGATTAATACCCATAGTATTGCACACTTAGGACATATCTTGGTTCTTCATATATTTTTTCTAAACACTCATTTTAAGAAGTGCCCAGCCTTTTGTCAGAAAAGATACTTTGACTCTGCAGTGTTGCTGAATGATACTGTGCAGAGAAGGTAATGGCAAGGATTTTGTTGTTTTTGACAGCACCACTAAAAGCATGAAATATTTCTGAAGGATTGGCAGAGCCTTGTAATAAGGGCTGCAGGAAATGACTGTATTGGGTGTGGAAGAAAGACACTGTCCAGATTTAACACATGAGCTACCGAAATACTTGAAAACAGAGGACAGGAAATGGTATCATAGGATAGGCTAGAATGCTGTACAGAACTCCATTGTTTATACAAGGTGCTTTTGTTCTGAAGTTTAAATTCGACTCAGAACACCACAGCTTTGGCATATAAAAGGTAACACTGACAGCCTAGTGAGTAATAAAATGCTATTTATTATTAGATTAAATCCCAGACTTTGCTCTTTCATAACAGTAAGTTCTTTAAATGTTCTGGCGTTTTTGCTGAAAAGGGAAGCTACTGTAACAATTTTTGATATATAATTTGGTGAAAATTATGCTATTTTCTAGCAATTTTTCCTCCCTCACGTCTGTTTCCAAATTCACTTAATTTTTACATTGTCCATTGTGCAATGTTTCTCTTGAAATCTGATGCTGTGTAGGCTGTCTATAATGTTTACCCTTAGGTATAATGGATAGGTATTGATGCATAACTGTATTTAACAAAACCATGATTCTATGAAAACTGTCTCTCAGTTTCAGGAACCTTAGGGGTAGCACAGAACTTAATTTCTCTTTTTTGGCTGGTTGATTTTTCTGTGTGACCTAGCTGTGGCTAGTTTTCTCCTAGCACTCAAGAGTATATTTAGCTCTAGTATGTATTCTCAGCTCCAGCCCAGCTTTTTGGCCACTTCAACTAGATTTTATCACTAACCTAGAAGCATCCCAATAAATTCTGCTGTTTTCTGCTGAGGAATGTAGATGCTTTAATCACAAAATGGGTTTTTGCTGTGGTTTTTAATACAGAAGGAAGAATGCTGACATAAAAAGGTTTTTCTTCTTTTTGCTGTCTGCGTTCCTTCTTTCCTCTATAACTTCCGACTTAAATGGTACAAGTCTCAGAAAACGTATTCCCATACCTCCCATACAAACACTTCAGGAAAGTACTAAATTGGAATAACTTTTCCTTGCTCTGTTAACCTTGAAAAACGCAAGGGACATATCAGATCATCGGTGTATGGTCAGGCTTTTGGCACAGTAGGAAATCCACAAAGAAAGTAAATCCAGAATTTGAAATCCTGGCTTTAAAGTTGTGAATTTACTGCTCATCCATATGTGAACAAGAATACTGTGGTTGCTCTCCAATTCCAGTCAGTTCTACCTACTTACATTTTTTTTTCTTTAAAAATATTTAGCTATAACTTTGTTTCCGGAAGACCTTTACAGAACTGAGTAGAATATCTTCAGATCAGCACGAGCGCTTTGTTATAAGTCATACATTAATCTTTGCTTTTTCCATTTCTAAATTGATAAAACAATACGTAGGATTCCATTTATGGTGGACAGGGAAAAGGCGAGGATTGCATTTGGCAGTTCCCCCACCGTGTAACAAGGATCAGTAGTAATGGAGGAGGCTCCCTCGTTGGTGAAGGATCTGGAGCACAAGTCTTATGAGGAGTGGCTGAGGGAGCTCGGGTTGTTTAGCCTGGAGAAGAGGAGACTGAGGGGAGACTTTATTGCTCCCTACAACTGTCTGCCTGACAGGAGGCTGTAGTGAGGTGGGGGTCAGTCTCTTTTCCCAAGCAACAAGCAATAGGACAAGAGGAAGTCGCCTCAGGTTGCACCAGGGGAGGTTTAGATTGGATATTAGGAAAAATTTCTTCACTGAAAGGGTTGTCAAGCATTGGAACGGGCTGCACAGGGAAGTGGTTGAGTCCCTATCCGTGGGGGTATTTAAAAGATGGGCAGACGAGATGCTGAGGGACATGGCTTAGTGGTGGACTCAGCAGTGTTGGGTTAATGGTTGGACTTGATGATCTTAAAGGTCTTTTCTAACTTAAATGATTCTATGGTTCGCATCCTGGTGAATTCACACCCCAGTGATATCTCAACATACAGCAGCGAAGTATCTTAGTCACCTTCATGAAGTGAAGCTAAGTGGTATCTAAGTCACCTTCATGAAGTGGTGTGCTGTTACTGATATATGTTATTGTTCTTCGTTTCTGCTAAGCTTTTAAAGGCATTAAAAATTTTGCTGAAGAAGATAGGATGTGACACTGACAACTTTCTTATTTTAATGGCTTTTAGATTAATATGTACTTAACGTAACAAAATTGGATTGGGCATAGGGGCCTATTCAAATTAGAATAAGAATACAAAATTCATGCCGGTATGGTGCTACAGGCTATTAGAAGAGAATTTCCCACACAGTGAACTCTTGTAATAGACTTTCCCTGAATTGTGACTACAAAGGCTGCTTTCAGAACTGTACGGTTAGTATAAACATAATCGTACTATGAATTGTATTTATTTATACACACATGTACACAAGTTCTCTAGTGTGAACTGTAGGGTTCCCTGTTGCAACATTCCCCTTGCTTAACAACTTTTTTCATTTGCAGCTGAATAAGGTGTGTGTGTTTGGGGAATTGTTGCTATAAATACGACAAAATCATTGGAATGTGGATTTAATTTTTTTTCTGAGAAATATATTTTGGTTAACGTGATTGGTGCTTTTGTCAGTACAGGAAAATAGAATACTAGACACTCAACTGTTTTACGGTCTTGTTACTTTTTTTTCTGATCTGAGTGTAAGCTAAGGCCTGTATCTTGAGCATATTCAGCATTTGGAGATTTTAGTGCTGAAGCCAGGACCTGTAGGCTTTGGCTTGTCTAATTCTACTTGGAATGAGTCTTAGGAGTAGGATAGAGAAAGACCTGTTAAAAAAAAAATAAATCAATGGGCATAAATGGCATGTATATCTGTGTCCAGAGCTTGGAATGGATTTGAAGGGACAGGATTTGTTCCCCTCATTGTTGCCAAATATAATAACCAGACAGTATGTATTTTTGAGACTGAAATGAATTTTATTAGAGAATAGATACTGAGGTCCTGCAGATCTTGAAGAAACTTGAAGAATACATTTTAGAAATAGAGACTTTAAGAGCTGATTTTTTTTATTCTCACAGGCAACAATTCAGTATAGTTAATGTTCTGTGGGGGTGGGGATGAAGTGGGGTTGTGCAAAAGCACAGGCTTTTTTGCAGGCTCAGCCTGGAGGAACTTCAAAGGGCAAAATAAAAAAACACAACAGATGTTATTAGAAATAGTTCTTCAGCAGTATGCTCTTCTCAGCGTTTAAGCTGCCACACTGTGCCCTTGAGGTGATATTACCTTTGCATATTGATCTTCTGGTGAAAGTGGTTTTTGTTTGTTCGATTATTCAATACTGTGCCTCTTGTGAGAAGTTTGTTATTGGAAGTTTTACAAAAGAAATATTTCGTAATTTGTACATGTGCACCAGTTTTGTATTGCAACTTCTCTTTGGTTTCACAGCACGTTTGTTTTTCCTCTTTCAGGAAATGGGTTTGTGAATTCTCGAGCTTCACCGAGTCTACTCGGAACTACTGGTGGTGGGAATGGCTTAGGCAAAGTCATGCCTACAAAGTCTCCACCTCCGCCTGGAGGAGGTAATCTTGGAATGAACAATCGCAAACCTGACCTCCGTGTTGTCATCCCACCCTCCAGCAAGGGTATGATGCCACCATTGGTAAGTTAAAACATTTGTTCTGTGACTGGCTTTGTAAAAATGAAGTGTTCCGTCTACGTACACAGGGAGAAACTCAGAATCTCATCTGCTTACTATAGGTTACAGTAATAGAAAGGTGTTTGTATTCTGTAATGTCGCTAATGAAAACCTAAGTTACCTTGGGAGAAGTTAAATTTGTAAGGATTTATTTTGTGAAGTGTAAACTAGCAGTCTGACCTAAAATGTGGTTAGAGTGCAATCCTAGAGGCACAGGTTGGGATTTTGTTGTTTTAATGACATCTGACTTGACTTGGTACCAAGAACTTTGTTGGTTAGGAGGATGTGGGTTTTAAAAAGGGTTATGCATTATTCTGTGGAGGAATGGCTGATGTTATTGGTGATGTGAAGTGTATTAACATGCTCTAAAGCACACTTCGTACCTCTCTTTCCTGGGTCGTAATGGTTGTGGGATGTAGAATGTAGCTTCAGCGGTAATGATGGTCTGAGAGAAACGCTTGTTTGATGTGGAGTGCTGGAATGCAACCTTGTGTGTCCTATGGTAGATGCCATGCCTTCAATGGAGGCATAAAAGAGTAATGAGGATCAGGCTCAGTCCTTATGTGTGTACTTTTCAATACTACTGTGCAGTTTGGCATGTTGGTAGCAATGTTTGTTCAGCCTAGATTTGGAATAGCACACAAGTTTCGTGTCAGGCATGAGGCAACCACAGCATTGAGACCAGAACAGGTCTTTCAGGAAGAGTTACTCTATTTTTCCTTTAATTTGGTTGGCCAGATCCTTTGGTCTTAGTCTTTCGCTGTCATGTAGAAATTTTAAAAACATCTATGTGTACATTTTCTGTTTTCTGTGTATGGAAGAATGAACCATAACCGAGAGGAGCAGGATATAAACAATGCAAGTACTCTCTGTATAGTTCTTACTTGTTTTTAAGATACCACAAGTACTTACATTTGTTACTGGTATTCATGATGAATAATACGAAATTAATCCAAGTAACAAAACCTGTAATTATTCCCAGAGTAATGATTCTTGAAGTGTTAGTTTTTTCTAGGAATACTGAAGTGTAGAAGACATAGGAAATACACTGGCTGATTATTAAAGTGAAAATTACACTTTTAAATAGAAATAAATACAAGAAGAGGATCTTGTTAATGCAGCTGTTCTAATGTTAGTAGCGTACAGTACCTATTTACTGTTGTGTTGTTAAGAACAACGTAATATTCAGTTTAGGTTTTGCCTGTCTCTTTGAGGAAATTGAAATGAGACTTCAGAGTAGAGGTGCTGGGATGGGTATGATGGTTGTATGCGAAAAATATTTTGTTACTGAGCTGTATGTTTATTGGATCAGTCCAGCTAGAAGCTGCTGTGCTCCGTATCTACGTGTGTCATCAATGCGTAGCTGCGTCCTTGTTTTTACTAAGCTCTTTTTGCACTTAACTTTGCCAAAGCATGTGTTCTTTCAGTATGGTATTTTTTAATTAAAACAAATAAAAATCCTGAAGCACAAACATTACTTTTTCTTTCATTTTTGAGAGCAATGCTATTTTTAGTAACTGTCTTATCCCTCTTGTTTGCTGAGTACAGTCCGAGGAGGATGAATTGGAGTTGGTGAGTTGGGGCTACTGTTTGATGAGAGAGCGCAAGATGCTGAAAATGTCTTTTACTACAGCTTTTTAATTGTAGTTTCATTACATGTTTTAAATAATTCCAGTGTTCCCTTGGTAGCAGACAAAAATACATTTGTTTTATCAAACTCAAAACCTGACCAATTCAAGTTGAAAATGCATCCAAAGTCTAGCGCTTTCTATTTGTAAACTTCTATTTTTTTTTTTTTTTCCTGAAAATATTTCTGTTTCTCTTGGAGGGAACATTGGAAAAGAGCCTGTACAGAGTAACTGTCCATGTGTATAGGATATTTACTGTCTTTTATGTAAAATATAAATAGCCACTTATCGTCCCCGAAATTATTGGAATATTTTTAGAAAGTGGCTTCACTCATGAAGTTCTTCAGATTGTAACACAAGCCCTGTATTACTTCTCGTATTTTCAAGGAGATTACATCATTGCTGGTGAGGTCATCTTTTTGGAGTTTAGAATTATTTCATCCTGCGTGAGATTATCAAACCACAGGGGTGTTCCCTGTTTACCAAAAGGAATAGAGAATTGCAAATGAATAATTCTACCTTTTTCCAGTGGAAAGATACTCTGCTTTTGAAAGGAATCTCTTGGGATTCGTGCTTCTCTATTTTTTCCAAAAGGTTTTAACATTTGGCATTCTGTCTGGAAAATAACGTAAGGCTAAAATAATTCGCAAATTATTTTTAGAGCAATTTGCAAATTGTTTAGCTGCTGTAGCACAAACCATGCAGAAAATGCTGCGTCAGAATGCGATTGTAGAGATCCGCAAAGAAGTCTGTGACATACCTTGATACGGTTTTGAACATGGACCTGTTGCTAATATGAGGCTCTTAATTGCATGAAAGCATGGAAAATGTAGTGATTTAGATAAAATTCTTGATGAATGCATGCTGTTGGTTGATTTTTACCTTAAATAAGAGCAATAGATTTACAAAAGTCAGTAAGGGGAAACGATTTTTGAAGTCAGTATTTAAGTTTTTAAGGTTTATTGGAATGACTTGTGGTTAACAACAGCTGTCATGCATGTTCCTCTCACCTTTATAGAGGAGTGTCTGGTTTCCAGCGCAAGAAATAGAGCTTTTAATTCAATGTAAAAACACTTAATCAAAATAGCATTGCAATTGGAATTAGGCAAAGCACTTGAGTTACGGTATTCTTACCTGCTAAAAATTGCTGTGCTCTTTGCAGCATGAAATAGCACGACTTGCTAAGGCGGTTTGGTTTCTGGATACTGTATGGAACGTGGGCCCTCTAGTGGCTTTAAAAACTGGGCTCATCTCTTAAGGGGAGAAAGCTCACACAAAGAAAATGTAGTAATGTCTTCCTCAAATGCGGTAAAGACATATGAAGCACTCCTGTGATGTTATGTTTCATGTTATGCTAATTTCTGATGCTAATTGCAGTGCTAGAAAGCCGTTCCAAACCATGTCTGTGAACATTGATTCTGTATAGTTGGAACTGAGCACCGAATATGAAAAACATATAGGAACAGTAGCATAGCATGAAATAAAGATACTGCATTCTTCACGTTACTGCTCTCCTTTGCACCAGTTCAAAAAAAAAAAAAAAACCAAACAAACAACCCAAAACAAAACAAAACCAAAAAAACCCCAACCTGAAAGTTGTCATGAATCTTGAATCTCCCAAGTACAACAAATATTAGATATATCTAAATATTTTAGTGTCTTTGTATGGCTGAGTGTTCAGGAGTGATATTTATAAAGAAATTGCCTCAGAAAACCATCTTTATTAGCCACTCAAAAAGGAAAAAAAAAAAAAAAAATCCCATGGGGAAATCCTTTGGTCTGGACTGTTTCCCAGTCTACTCCTCTAACTTTTCCATTATACAGTAATCCCAACTTTATAGGCTGCTATCCAAGAAAGCTTTGGAAAAAGGTCAATTCCTGACAGACACAAAAATCTGCCCTAATAACGTATCTTTATGCCAGATAAACTTGATCTAGTGGAGATTTTCAGAAGTACATAAGTGATTTAAAGGAACGAATTACACAGAAAATCAGTGGGACTTTCTCTGTGACTTAGGGCTCTGAAATCTGGGAGCTCTGAACCAGAGTGGGTACATCGGAGCAAATGCCAAAGAGCCTCCGAATTCTTACGAGGCTCAAAGGTGGGCTTTCCACCGCAGCCAGACAAAACAGCGATCAGAAGCTGGTAGCCAGTGGAAGGTTGTAGCTAATTTTAATATGGTAGTTGCAGTATAATTTTTTTCTTTAAATCGGGAAGATGCAAGCCAAGGATTGAGAGCCCTCAATTCATCTTTGCAAGTTTAAGCTTAAAATTGAAGAGCGCCATGTTTCTGTACCTGCTCATTCCATTATTAAGGGAATCGGGCATTTTTAGTACTGCTCACTCAAGATCAGAGTGGAGAAGAAAATTAAGTGCTACAGATACTGAAATACTTGTATACCTGTGCAAAATAAGGAAAAAAAGTAGTAGTAGCTTCAATCTTTCAAAGCTAGGAAATGGAACTCTATCGAAGAGATGAAAACCTGCTACTTCTGTAGCAGCAAAGATTTTTTTCAGTTTGAAATCCAGCTCCCTTCATCGGGAATGGTTCTGTAAGAATGTGGAAATAGAGGGTGTAGAGACTTCTACTACTTCTAGTATTCCTAAGACTTCTGTAGGTAGAACTAAGTATCTGTTTAAAAATAAAAAATGTGGCATTTCCTGTTCTTGACAGTATCTGGCATGGCTAAATGGTATTGAACTACATATTTTGAAGAAAGCTTTAAAGTTGCTTCCATGAAGAGTAGCACGTTCTGTGACAGCTTTGCTGTCTGGTGGTATTCACCACAGTGTTTAATACAAGGTTTTCTCAACAGCAAATGGGGTTAAAGAGCTTAATTTGAGTGATATGTTTGCTACAGATGTTCATTCCGGTATATGGGAAAGACAGACTCTTATTAAAAAGGCACATCATGCCTACAGTAGGAGCAGAAAATCTGAGACAATCTAGTTTAGCTGGTTTTTTCTGTCAAAAAGCACAGTTGCTCTGTGTGAACTCAAATGTCATTTGCTTCGAAACATATCTGCATTATAACAAGTACGCTCTCAGTTTCTCAGGAACCATGGGAACAGCAAGATTATTTTATCACTGAGGTCTTATCAACACAAATTTAGAAGATCTCTGTGTTCCTTTCAGGACAGGTGTAGTCAGCACAGTGTCAAAACTGGCACCTAAAATTTTGAAACTTGGATAAACAGCTGGGAAGTGGGAGACTTTTCTGGTGGAACTGCAGCTCACCATCTGCACTAAAACCCCTTTAAAAAATAAGACTAAAAACTCTTAAATCACTTAGGAACTTCTGAGAATTGTTGTGTGTACCCTAATAAATTGCATTTATTTTTATGTGCTACAATTCTAACACCATTGAAATCTGCGTGCATGGGAAGCGGACCAGTGAGTCTTAATTAATTTTTCGTTTCAGTTGGCCAAGATCATTTAGATTGTCTTGAAATGTTTTGGCTTGTTTAGAAAATCTGTCCTGACAAAAAGGATGTGTTCGTAACTAAAAAATAAAGCAAAGAAACACGTTTTAATTGAACGCTATTTTTATATTAGCACTTGATTTTTCCATTGTTCTAACTGATATCACAAGATGTGTTCTTATTTTTAATCGTTTATAGAATACCCAAAGGATAAGTAGTTCTCAGTCTACACAGCCTCTTGCTACCCCTGTGGTGTCTGTGACAACTCCAAGCTTGCCTCCGCAGGGACTGGTGTATTCGGCCATGCCGACTGCCTACAACACTGGTAAGCATTGTTTTTAATAAGTGGCTTGATTTGTCAGATGTACAAGGCTTTTGTGATTCATAAGCCCAGAAAATTTGCATTTCTCTGACACTCCACTTTATTTTTGTATTCAGTTCAAATGAAGGCTCTTGTTCATCAAAAATGAGCTTTTAGCTTGTAAAATGTGTAAATGTTGGGACTTACATCAGGAAGCAGCTTTGTCAGTCATGTTGCACACAGCTGAATATGGAGACACACACAATAAAATGCCTTGCTTATAGCAGTAGGATTCAAGCTGTCTATCTGAGAGCTGAAATGCCTCACATCTCAGCGATAGTTGATACTTCAGAGCATCCTGTCCCTTTCGTTCTGCTCTGCTCACTTCCAGTAGCAGGAGGGAATCGGATTCTACTGGGGCTTTCAATTTACAAAAGAGCCCAGATAGGGCCTTCTCCTCATCACTGGTCTTATTGAGAGTGAGGTGGGGACTCACAGGAAAGCATTGTCCACGTTTCACTGCTGCGGGGTCTCTTAGTATCTGAAGGACCTTAAAATGACTTTTTATCCAAGATGGGTGCAATGGCAGGAATTTGGTAATATCAGTGATAATTGATTTGCTGTTTTGGAAAGGAGTTCATGATGTGGTGCCTCCTCCTTTCTCTCCATACCAATAGAGATAGCTTTGACTTCAGACTCAAGGTTCTCTATTTGTTACAGACCCTGGTTGTAATCAGTAAAGGAACTTTTATAATCGTTTCCTTGAAAGGCTGCAGCCTTGATGGTGTCAGATTGATTACTGTTGATCTGTGATGCATAGCTTAATTTTCAAATGCACCTGCAGAGAAACTACATTGCAGATAAGTGTCAATAAATTTGTGAGTCAGTTAAAATAGCTACTGGTTAAAACTAAAAAGGAAAAGAAAGGAAATAATTCCTCAGTTTGCTGTTCTTTTTAGATGAAGTCTAGTTAAGACATTCAATGTAAGTGCTATAATTTGTTAAAATGGGAGTTTCTGAACTGGAGACCACTGTGTTGGCAATGTTTATGTCTTATTTGGTAGACTTTCAAATTCGAAAAAAAAAATTTAAAATCTTGCTACTCTCTTCTGCAGTGATAGCTCTTAGGAACTGAGCTGCGCTAGAGAGCTTCCCGTTATAGCTGGTCAGCTCCGGCTCGACGGAAGAGCTTGAGAGTTTTATTGTCATCTTTCTATGAATCTAGGAAGACCCACGTCTCCAGTAGAGGAGATTCGCCAGTAGCGTCTCTTCCCTCGATGCGTATCGTCTTTGGCTGCGCACAAGTAGCTGGCAGGCGTGAGATGCTGGGGAAGCTGGGAGGCAGCGGAGGGCATACTGGGGAGGAACGAGTCGCCTTTCCTTAAGGACCCACTCTATGGGGTTTACGTGGCAAGGTTTTGATAGTGGGTGGGGGGGAAGTGGGAGGTGGACACACACGTGCTGCGGGGGCAGCTCCTCTGAGAGGAGATCGGGAGCTGCCCCGGTGTCAGACAGAGCGCGATTCAGCTGGCGCCAAAGTGTACCTGCTGCTGCCCGAAGCTGAGCCCATCAGCAGCGCTTGGCGGCACCTCTGTGATAATGTATTTATGAAAGGGTAAAAAACGCTGCACTGGTCTATTGTCAGTCACCTAATGTTCTTACTCTTGTGCAAAGGTCAGGACAAATACAAAAAAAACTTCAAGGTTTGTAGAAAATGGCTAAAACCCGAGCGATACAGAGGTTTTGTAATTTTCTTCATTTTCTGCAAGGAGGGGCACAATCACACCCATTCACAATAATTTCCCCAACAAAAAAGCTGCGATCTTATACATTTTTCTCCACTTTTTTTAGCTTTGAAAGTCTCACTACAGCTTCTAGTTTAGACTTGTAGCCATCTTCCAGCCAAACACCTCACACCTTTTTGTATCTTTTTGTATTAATGTGCTGGTTAACTGACATTTACCACCCTGCATTGGTTTGCCTCGGAGGCGCTGCCCCCAGGCAGTTTCTGGCACGCGTGAGGTTTGCATTTTGAGAGGGACTGTTTAGTCATCAGCAACAGTAAATATTTATACTGCGGTAGCACCCAACTAAATTGTTGAACACTTATGCAAATAGTTGCTACCCTAAGGGGGGTTAAAGTCTGAAGGAATTTATAAAGGAAAAGATGGGGTTGCCATAACAGTGTAATGAGCAGAGTGAATGATTGTGCTCGGTGACTTGTTTTGGATTATAAACCAAGTATGAATTTGCTGGACATGCAGATCTTGGATTGATGCTTGCAACATAGACTGTTTATAAATGGCATGTAATGGCTGTTTAAAGTAAACAAATCGTTCTGGGCTCTGCTCAGAAGACCCACATTGAGTTTTACCTCTCACCTAACACATCCCTTCATTTTCCCATGCAGTCTGACCTTGTTTTGGGAAGCGGTGGTGTGTGCGTCCCTCATCCAGAATAACCTATGAACTGGTGGCTAAACCAGGTGTTTTGGGGGAGAGGGACTGTAGTCTGGATCTTAGGAAGCAGCAAAGACAACTGAAACTGGTGTCCTACGCAGTGGCTAAGTGCTGCTGTCACTGGGATAGGATTTTAAAACCCAGCCCGTTTCCTTTGATAATGCACTAATCTATGAAAAGCTTTTAGCCTTTAGTGTTTTTCAGACACTTTAAAATTGTTCCTATTAGATTGAGACTTTCAGGGGATTTGCAAAAAGAAATCTGATGTTAAAACTAAATTGTCATCTGGGTATTCTCGGGGTAGTCACCACTTATGTAGCAATTTCAGTTTTGCAGTCCAAGGACTAAGATAAAATTACCTGCATTGTTTTTCTGGATTGATAGGATTTTTTTGAGGGGCTGGAAGGAAGAGATTCAGCTCTTAGATCCTTAATTAAAACATTGTTTATCAGTTTCGCACAGATATACTATTCTATAGAATTTGTTTTGCTGGAGAAGTAAGTATTCTTTCTGCAGGTTGCTGGAGGAAAGGCCAGAAGGAAGAGTTACTTGTTCTAAAACCATCTAGGCATTTTTAAAAAATATTCAAAATCCACAGAGACCAGTTAAATAGTAACTTAGACTTGACAGAACATATTTACCATTAATTATATTACTGACTTTAGGTCAGTTATCTTGCAAAGGCACAAACTTCAAAGGTACCTTCTTGTTAGGGTCAGAGCAGTAATGGTTCCCATCGCGTCGAAGGCCCTCTTTTGCCTGAACGACTTCTCCATGTTGCATCGAGCCACTCGGGTACAGAACCCGGTGGTTGGCAGGGAGTTGATGGTGGAGGGAAAGGACAATGCAGCTGCGCAGCGGCACGTGTCCTAGGGCAAAGGATCTCCTCAAACCCCTGCCATCAGACACGTCCTGTCTAAAGTGCCAGAAGTTAATTGCACATTATCATAAAAGCTGTAATTGCAAAGAAAAAAATCAGGGAAACTGAATTCCTATAAACACTTTCTTCAGGTCTGCTCTTACAGAAATCCCTCTGGCACGGAACAGCACATCCATCTCCAGTGTTGACATTTGCTGCGCTTGCGCGGTGCCATAGGTCTGGCTGCTTTGTTGGTTGGGTGGATGCCCTGGTCATTGGAGGGTTGGACTTTAAGTTTTTTATTTTAGTCTTGCAAAAAGGACTTTGGATTGATCAGCTTGGGAAAAATACTTCTTGATTTGTACAGACATGCTTGTGAGGGTTTTTCAGAGTTCCAGCAAAAAAGTCAGCTGAGGAGAAGTGAAGCAAAAAGGCAGCTTCGGTGGCCTCGCTTGCTGGGGCGCAGCTGGGCTTCCCAAGGCCTTCGGGAAGATTCTCGCCGTGGTGCACGTGCCCCTCCGAGGAGGCCAGTGCCCTGCTGGCCCTGGGCTGGTAAAAGGGAAAGCGGGAGGCTGCCCGCAGCGAACCAGCTGGTGGATGGGAATAGGGAAGTTGTTCAAGAAAGCTTATCTCAGGAGAGAGAAATCATAATGGTGGTGTCATTTTAGGGCAATGCTAAAAAAACCCCAAAAAGTAAACAAACACAAACCCCCCTTCCCCAAAACCCTAAAACCAAACACAGAACAAACCACAAACCCTACTTGAGCAGGTTTTTTGGTTCGTCTGCTGGCAGTATAAAAGAAGTTTGGCTGCTAGCATTTTTTTGCATTCTCAAGAGACTAGGAATTATTTTAAGGAAGCTATATTCCACAATAATTAAAAGCAGGGAAGTGTTTGCAGCTTTGTTTTAAAACCTGAAAGAAAAGCATGAGTGATAATGATAAAGTGAAAATCACTTCCCCTGTGCAAATGAAGTGAGAACTGTCTAAGCATTATAGCCTAGCCAAAACGAACAGCCAGTCCTGATGGTTGATTGGGAATACATTGTATTTTCTATTATCCATTTAAGTTGTATTTTTAAATGATTATAGGGTTTCTGCTCTAAATAAAGAGGTTTCTTTTATTTGCTAGGGAGATGACAGTTTAGTCAGACAAAGTAAGGAGCAAAGCTGCTGGGAGGGGGAGAAAGTGATGTGTTACAGTAGGACAGCGCGAATGGAGCGGGCAGCGGGGTTGTGAAGGCCCCAGCTGCTGTGACTTTGGTCACGCCATCCCTCGGGGATCTGTC